ACTTGACATAATTTTGGCTCTCAAGGCCTTCTCAAATTTTTGTAGCTTCCAAGATTTACGTTTTTTAATGTTTTTCGTAGAGTTTTTTTGAAAAATCATCAAAGCAAACCGTAGCTCATACATTTAAAATCCGAACCCTGTACTTCCAAATATGCCTGCTCTATCTGTTTAGTTTTCGAGACATGACGTTTCTTATTTTTTTAAAGTTTTTAACTTTTTTTTTATAAATCGTACTTTTAAAACACTTGGAAAAAATTCAATTTAAGAACCTTTTAGTGAGGTTCTATCAGTATATTCTCAGTATTGCAAATTTTGCTTCCAAATATGCCAGCTCTATCTGTTCAGTTTCAGAGATATAACATTTTTTTATCTGTTTTTGAGTTTGTTTTTTTAATTTTAGGTATGAAACCTTTGTTAAAATTGAAAAACCAAATCCCTATAGTGGGTTTCTGTCAGGTACTCTTAGTTGTTTAAAATCTTGCCTCCAATTTTGCCTGCTCTTTTTTTTAAATTCGTTTTTAAAATCTAAGATTTGAAACACTTGACAAAATTTGAAATTCGGAGCTCTACAGTGGTATTCTATGAAACTACTCTAAGAGATTGCAAATCTTGCCTTCAAATACGTCTGCTCAAATTTGTTCAGTTCCCGAGATAAAATGGTGTTTTGTTTTTTGGAGAAGTTTTTTAGAATCTTAGATTTAAAACACCTGACAAAAATTGAAATTCCGAAGCCTATAGTAGAAATCTCTTAAAATACTCTCAAGGTTGCCTTTGTTGCATCCACGTTTGACTCCTCAAAGCTTTTAGCTTTGGAGATATGACGTTTTCCTTAAGTGTTCAGCAAGAGATTTTTAACAGTAATAGGTTTGCATGGTTTCACAAATTTTGAACAACTCAATCCTCTAGTTGGCGCTGTCAGGGTACTCTCACAGCGTTGCAAGTCTCACCTCCAAGTTTAACTGCTCAACGTTTTTCTAATCCGAGATATGGCGTTCTTAAGAATTTTCAAAAGTGAAAACATCATTATTTAAATCCTAAAACAACTTTTTCTCAAAATTTGAATTTGTTGATCTTTTGGTGATGCAATGTCAGTGTAATCCCAGCAGTTGCAGATTTAGAATATATATACAATGATTGCATAAACCTTTTTTACCTCCGCGATATGAAGTTTTTTGCTCAAAAAAGTTATATAAAAAGCTCTGATTTGTTTTCGACGTGAAGTTTTCGATCCTACGGTGGTGTGATGCGAAGTTACTCACAGAGGTTGAAAATTTGGCTTCTAAATTTGACTACTCAGATCTTTTCAGTAACCTCAGATCCAGTCAGCCACCCATATTTCCAATTAGCCATCTTTCGATTTAGCTATCGTTCCAATGAGAAATTCATCCATCCATCAAGACATAAACCCATCGATCAAGCTTTTTCTTCATCAAGCGGTCAATCTATCCAACCAACCGTTTGGCCAGTTAACCCTTGATCGGCCCACCCTTCTAGACATCCATCCATCAAAATATCCATCTCTCTAGCCATCCATCCAAACGGCTATTCATCCGTCCAGCGATCTAACCATCAAGCCACTCATCTTTCAGGCTATACATCCATCTAGCCATCAATCTATCCAACCAGCCATCAAGCCAATCTTTGATTAATCGGCAAATCCATCCAGCCATGCATCCACCAAGCAATCAGTCGAGCCATCCATTCAAGTAATCATTCATCAAGCGATCCATCTATCTAGCCATCCATTCATCAAATCATCCATCTATCTAAACATTCAACCAGCTATCTATCTGTTCATCTATCCCTCTAACCAAGCAGCCATCCATCCATCCTTTCAACCATCCATCCATGCATTCATCTATCGGTCCATTCATCTAGCAATCAATACAACCAGCCTTTTATCCAACCAGACATCCAGCCATCGATCCATTCACCTAGCAATCCAGCCAACCAGCCTTTCATCCAACCACACATCCAGCCATCAACGCTGCCATCCATCAATTCACCCACCACTCAAGCAATCCATCACTCCAAACAGTCATCCATTCAACCAGCCCTGCATTCGTTCGTCAACCATGCCATCCATGCATCCATCGCCTGCCTAGCCTTACTCAAAACTATCATGCATCCACCCAATCAGCGATTGATCCATTCGTCAAGCCACCATACATCTAGCAATCCTTTCATTTTGCCATCCGTCTATGCAACAACCAATCCAATCGTCTTGCGTTCGATCGTTCCAGCAACCATCCTGCCTTCCATCAATCCAGACAAACAGTCTTTCAACTATAATTATAGACCTTCATCAACCCTCTCATCTATTCATCCATCCAATCATCTGCCCATCTCAGCCAGCCATCAATCATCCGCCAATCCATCCGCACATTTAGCCAGTCCTGTGTCCAGCGGTTCATCGTCGATCTAACAATCTATCTATCTAGATATCCATTCGTAACGCATCCATCCATCTAGCCATTCATGCATCCCATCAAGCATCCTTGCTGCCGTCCATTGTCAATCTAGCCATCAATCCTACTATCCATCTCTCCACCCCACAACCGTTCGTCCAGCCATCCATGCACCTTGCCATCCATCCACTCAGACATCTCTGAATACACTCTCCATTCAGCTAGCCATTCACATTCATCCAGCTATTCATCCAGCCAGCCATATATCCAGCCACTAACCTACGTAGCTTTTCAACCAACCAGTCATCCATCTATCTAGCCATCCAGCCAGTCATATATCCAGCCATCAACCCATCCGGCCTTTGAACCGACCAGTCATCCAGTCATCTAGCCATGCATCCATCCTCTCATCATTTCAGCCATCCATACATCCAGTCAGTCAGTCTTCCAACCAGCCGTCACTCAAGCCATCGATCCTTCCAACCATCAAGCCAATTTGACAACTAGCCATTCACCTAGTCAGCCATCAATGCGTCCATCTAGCAATCCCTTGTGCCTTCATTCCATCATTTCAATCGTCCAGCCAATGATTCAAACATCCATTAGTCAATTACATCCACTATCCAGCCATCCTCAGAACCAGCAAAACATCCATCCATCTAATCTAATTTTCTGTTAAAGATAAACGTTGTCATTTTTCAGGAGCAACTTGAGCTACAGAGGGCCTGCTAGTTAGTATAATTTCAACAGAAAAGGTCAATCGTGAATTGTTCCAAGAATTCAAAAAGCTTTAAGGGCATATATGTTTTTGTTTGAAATTCGAATGCTTGCTTGCGTTCATTGATTCAATTCCAACTGTTTTTTGTTTCCGCTTGATTTTTTTTGTAAACTCTTGACAGTTGGTTGTTTTGCTTCTCTTAATGAGTTTATTAACGGAGTTGTTGTCTGATTAATCAAACATTAAAGATTTTGCGTATTCGCGTTTTGCGAGCCCTTGGGTCAATAAAAAATCAATTCGCACTTTTATATAGGTAATTTTCAGGTGAAAATTTTTGAAAAAAGGAAAGCCTGTTTCTGCGCAATTGGCACGCAAAACTTACACCCCTATAATTAATCGGTCTTTAGTTTCAAATTGTAGCATATGCGTTATCATTTTTTTCCGAAAATTGAATAAAAATTAAAGTAAAAAAAATACAATTTTTTTTGCTAAAATTTGGAAAGATTTTTTAATTACTTTTTTTTCGATACCTAAAAAAAAATTTTGCGCTGTAACTAAATCTCTGAAGTAAAACTAAGTTTTCCCGGCATAAATATAAACGTAATTGCTCGAAAAAAATCAAAATTCAAAAACCGGTTCATGTCGACACAGAAAATTTTTCGAAACCATTTGAATATCGCTCCAATAACGACTGAAAAGGAATATTAAATGATATAACACTCGGCCCTATTCAATGACTTTTTTGTAACTTAATTTGCGTGGGAAAAGGTTTCGAAAAACTAAAACATGCCCGAAGACAAAGTTCCTCCTTGCTTTTAGAGGTCGTAACAATAATCTGCGTTCGTTTTTTTTGTGATCGGTCATAAAGTTCTTGTTTGCTTCATTTTGTATTGTAATAATTCCGATTCTCTTCGCTTCTGGATATAAAGGAACACTGGATTTGTGAAAACACTTCGATTTTATATGTTTTTTGAAAATCCATTTGAATTAAGTAGCTATTATAATTTCGTCGTTTAACGTGTTATTAATTTTGGCGAAAACTTTGGCTATCCATCTCTGAAATATATCTAGCTTTCTAGAAGTTTTTATAAACTCCGGCACTCTTTTTTGTTGGAAACTCCGATACCTTCTAAATCTCTTCTCGGAAAGTGACTGAACTCTCGAGATATTCTAACCGAGTCTGGACGAGCCATATATACCCGGCGGTGGCTTCTTATTTTAACATCAGTTCCCAGGTATAGAGCTCTGTTGTGAAGGTGGAACAAAGTTCCTCTTTTCACTTGTTACATAGAGATTTTGGTAACCACGGTTAAAGATATTTGTGTTTTTTTTTCAGTTTTGTTTAAGGACAAATGCAAGTTTTTTTGCACGCCTCATTTGCCGAAACAAAACATTTTAAGACTCTTTTTGCTTTTAAATGAGTTTTTGGTATAGTTTAAACCACGCTTCGAAAACATTTGTTTTATCAAGTTTTGTTTCGCGTAATTATCTTTGTTCACAAGTAGCAATAGTTTCACTAAAAGCCATTATGAAATTAGGTGTGTAAAAACTCATAATCTAGTAATTTTACTCGAGTCGTGAATAATATATAAAACTAAATTTTGTAATCAGTAAGCTGGCAAAATTTCTTTCAAGTTGTGCATGCAGCGACGTGAACGAATTCGTGGTCTAATTTGGCCGATATTAAATTCATAGTTTCAATTATTTTTACAATTAATGTTTAACCATTCGGTTTTTTAAATCTCAGAAAATTTCGTCAGTACGTGCTTTTTTTTGGTAAATAACTTCGGAGCTAGAACTGCTCAAAATCTTAGTTGTATTTGTTCCTATAATTGTTAGTTATTATCAATATCAAGAGAAAACTAAAACTGAGAATGGAAAAGGGCGCAGTTGGAAGAAGCGATCACCAGGAGTGGACTCCTAAACGGCGGATGAAATTATTCTCGTGGGATTCGTCAAAGGGGGAGGGGAAAGGAAGAGGAGATCTGGAGGTGATCTATTCCATTGACGACAACCCCCCTTGGTACCTGGCCATAATTCTCGGCCTGCAGCACTATCTGACCATGATCGGTGCATGCATTTCTATCCCCTTTGTACTGTCCCCCTTTCTGTGTATAGCGAACAATGGTCTAGCACTCTCTAGACTTATCAGCACAATCTTCTTCTGCTCCGGAGTGGCGACTCTGCTGCAGGCCACGTTGGGGGTCAGACTACCCATTGTACAGGGGGGCACTTTCACATTCATCACTCCCACCATCGCCATACTCAGCCTACATGGTGAATGGTAAGTTATGTCCGCCAAAACAAAGCAGACTTGTTCGGCTTCAGCTATTTGATTTTGGTGAGCCGTGAATAAAAGTCAAATTAAGAATGAACAACTTTCAATCTGAACTTATTTTTTGTTGCGATAACTCCTCATTATATTTTCCCACAGTAAATACAATTTTTTTTTTTAAAAAGGTCATATTTACTGTGGAAAAAATATATAATTGGGAAATTATCAAAACAAAAATTAAGTTCAGAACAAAGTTCATTCTTAATTTGAGTAGTATGTGAAATCTACCGTGGTTTCAGCTCAGATAAAAATTAATTCCGCAAGTATTTAATTGTCTGATTTGGTTTCTCGAATATGTTTTCTTTTCGTTTGATCAAAACTTAGGGTGCAAAGGAACTTTAATCTAGGGTCGTATTTACGCAAAATCAGTAGCTTTAAAGAACGCTTGGAAGGCATAGAGTGTTATCAAATAAATTTTCTTGGTTTCGAGATAAATTGGTTTGAATCTGAATAATTCCATTTTCAAACCTTTCTTAACAAGGTAGTGGATCAATAACTTTCTGATTTTAGTTGGATTTTTAAATACAAAAATTTGATTATTTTTAAAGAGTCGATGAATATGACCAGACTCTTAAATAGGTCGGGGTGATTTTTTTAAAGACTTTGTTCAGGCTTAAAATTACTTTTCGCGGTTTGAATTTTGATTTCTCTTTAAATTCAGTTCATTTCCTTTGTTGGAACGAAGGCAAGCTCCACTATTGAACAGTGAAAGTATAAAGATTACAAAAAACGTGATTCCAGTTTCGAAGGTCGAATTTAATTTTCGAATTTCCTAGTGGAATACAACCTTACCTTTTAATCAAGTTTTCTCAAATTAAGTCATTTTTTATCCAAAAAGTGCCAATCGTAAATTGTTCTAAAAATTCAAAAAAACTTCGAGGCTTTCTATTTTTTTGATATTCGAACGCTGAAGTTTTTTTTAAAAATCAAATCGTTTTTTTTCTGCGCACTTGCGTTCACTGTTTTGTTTCTAACTGATAATGGCTATGTTTTTTTGATAGAGCGCTCAATTTCAATTCAACTTTACTGATCAAGAAAACGGTGCAACAGTTTGAAAAATAAGGAAATACCGTGGTTGGGAAAACCTTCTCTAATCTGGTGCAACGACTGGCCTGGTTACAATTTTTTTTCACGCTATCGAGAGCAAGTATCTTGTAATCGGGAACTAGATTTTTTTTCTCGTAAATAACTTTTCTTACAAAAATTCGTACTTGCTTTAGTGTTGAACCTTAATAATTTCCAGGTTCCTTCCAACTTGGCCAGAATGTATTGCGATCGTCGGACGTTCGTTTGTCTGCCCAAATTTTTCTGCTTAGGTGCCACATCACGGATCTTTTTGTGCTATTAGCAAGTATCAAAGTCGTTGCAAGTTTTTGATCATTGCAGTTTCTTGGTAGACGTAAGCTTTTGGCCTTTCTGTAAAACTACTCTGCCAAGTCTTAGGTTAAGTTTTCATCGAACTATACGGTTTTGGTAACCTTCTTTGCTCAAGCGGCCACGATTATATTATCTCTATGCAGAAAAAAGGGTTATTTCAAAAGGGTCTTAAATTTTTTTCATTTTTCTTAAAAACTACTCTATCAAATCTGAGATGCGGATTTGAGTCGAAAGAACCAGTTTAAAAATTTTTTCTGCAGATGCAGTGACTCCTTAACTTTTTTGTGTATTGCCGTGCAAGTGGCGCGAAGCTCCCTTCGCTTCTGTTTTAACTTATTTCGTTTTCTTTTTTTTCATGAGTTTTGATTTTCATAAAATGATGATACAATATTTTTAAAGTTGCTATATCTTGTTTCAAAGGAATTATGTACATTTTTCAGCTGTTTTTTTTTCAATGTTAAATTGTTTTATACTTGCGGTAAATGACTTTTGCTCGGATCTTGTTAACTATTTCACCCCCCCCCCCCCCCCCCCCCTATTGCAAAATGGGAGGGGAATAGTTAAAATGGTACAAAATTCGTAATGCTTAACTGTTCACATTTCTTTCTTTATAGGGGGGGGGGGGGGATGTGATATCGTTACAATGTACCATAGGGGGGAAATAGTTAACAAGATCCCTTTTTTCTTATACTAAACCAGATTTTTGCGAAGTCAAATAATTGTCTAGTCTATTCTCACTGAACTCAATGATTGATTCACTTGAGGGACTGAGGGCTAAAACTTACTGTTGTTTTTGGCTTCATTTCTTCCCACCTATATTCTGTCGACTTGATTTTTCTATTAATATTTACATATGTTGTTTCGGAGGGTATCTAGATAGAATGGGCCAATATATATACGATTCATAAATGTGGAAATTTGCTGTTGTAAAACAACCAGTTTTTTATGTATTCTGTAGTCACGTTTAGATGCAAAAAGACTATCCATTTCAAAAAAGTGGAAAAGTTAGTCAATTCGAACGCCTCATTAATGACAAATTCAAAAACCATCAAACTGGTACCTCCAGCTTTAGCTTGGTCGCTAAGTTTAGTTTTATTCAGACAGACGAAAAATTTGTTTCTCCCATTTTGATCATCTGCCCATCTCAGCCAGCCATCAATCATCCGCCAATCCATCCGCACATTTAGCCAGTCCTGTGTCCAGCGGTTCATCGTCGATCTAACAATCTATCTATCTAGATATCCATTCGTAACGCATCCATCCATCTAGCCATTCATGCATCCCATCAAGCATCCTTGCTGCCGTCCATTGTCAATCTAGCCATCAATCCTATTATCCATCTCTCCACCCCACAACCGTTCGTCCAGCCATCCATGCACCTTGCCATCCATCCACTCAGACATCTCTGAATACACTCTCCATTCAGCTAGCCATTCACATTCATCCAGCTATTCATCCAGCCAGCCATATATCCAGCCACTAACCTACGTAGCTTTTCAACCAACCAGTCATCCATCTATCTAGCCATCCAGCCAGTCATATATCCAGCCATCAACCCATCCGGCCTTTGAACCGACCAGTCATCCAGTCATCTAGCCATGCATCCATCCTCTCATCATTTCAGCCATCCATACATCCAGTCAGTCAGTCTTCCAACCAGCCGTCACTCAAGCCATCGATCCTTCCAACCATCAAGCCAATTTGACAACTAGCCATTCACCTAGTCAGCCATCAATGCGTCCATCTAGCAATCCCTTGTGCCTTCATTCCATCATTTCAATCGTCCAGCCAATGATTCAAACATCCATTAGTCAATTACATCCACTATCCAGCCATCCTCAGAACCAGCAAAACATCCATCCATCTAATCTAATTTTCTGTTAAAGATAAACGTTGTCATTTTTCAGGAGCAACTTGAGCTACAGAGGGCCTGCTAGTTAGTATAATTTCAACAGAAAAGGTCAATCGTGAATTGTTCCAAGAATTCAAAAAGCTTTAAGGGCATATATGTTTTTGTTTGAAATTCGAATGCTTGCTTGCGTTCATTGATTCAATTCCAACTGTTTTTTGTTTCCGCTTGATTTTTTTTGTAAACTCTTGACAGTTGGTTGTTTTGCTTCTCTTAATGAGTTTATTAACGGAGTTGTTGTCTGATTAATCAAACATTAAAGATTTTGCGTATTCGCGTTTTGCGAGCCCTTGGGTCAATAAAAAATCAATTCGCACTTTTATATAGGTAATTTTCAGGTGAAAATTTTTGAAAAAAGGAAAGCCTGTTTCTGCGCAATTGGCACGCAAAACTTACACCCCTATAATTAATCGGTCTTTAGTTTCAAATTGTAGCATATGCGTTATCATTTTTTTCCGAAAATTGAATAAAAATTAAAGTAAAAAAAATACAATTTTTTTTGCTAAAATTTGGAAAGATTTTTTAATTACTTTTTTTTCGATACCTAAAAAAAAATTTTGCGCTGTAACTAAATCTCTGAAGTAAAACTAAGTTTTCCCGGCATAAATATAAACGTAATTGCTCGAAAAAAATCAAAATTCAAAAACCGGTTCATGTCGACACAGAAAATTTTTCGAAACCATTTGAATATCGCTCCAATAACGACTGAAAAGGAATATTAAATGATATAACACTCGGCCCTATTCAATGACTTTTTTGTAACTTAATTTGCGTGGGAAAAGGTTTCGAAAAACTAAAACATGCCCGAAGACAAAGTTCCTCCTTGCTTTTAGAGGTCGTAACAATAATCTGCGTTCGTTTTTTTTGTGATCGGTCATAAAGTTCTTGTTTGCTTCATTTTGTATTGTAATAATTCCGATTCTCTTCGCTTCTGGATATAAAGGAACACTGGATTTGTGAAAACACTTCGATTTTATATGTTTTTTGAAAATCCATTTGAATTAAGTAGCTATTATAATTTCGTCGTTTAACGTGTTATTAATTTTGGCGAAAACTTTGGCTATCCATCTCTGAAATATATCTAGCTTTCTAGAAGTTTTTATAAACTCCGGCACTCTTTTTTGTTGGAAACTCCGATACCTTCTAAATCTCTTCTCGGAAAGTGACTGAACTCTCGAGATATTCTAACCGAGTCTGGACGAGCCATATATACCCGGCGGTGGCTTCTTATTTTAACATCAGTTCCCAAAATGGGAGGGGAATAGTTAAAATGGTACAAAATTCGTAATGCTTAACTGTTCACATTTCTTTCTTTATAGGGGGGGGGGGATGTGATATCGTTACAATGTACCATAGGGGGGAAATAGTTAACAAGATCCCTTTTTTCTTATACTAAACTAGATTTTTGCGAAGTCAAATAATTGTCTAGTCTATTCTCACTGAACTCAATGATTGATTCACTTGAGGGACTGAGGGCTAAAACTTACTGTTGTTTTTGGCTTCATTTCTTCCCACCTATATTCTGTCGACTTGATTTTTCTATTAATATTTACATATGTTGTTTCGGAGGGTATCTAGATAGAATGGGCCAATATATATACGATTCATAAATGTGGAAATTTGCTGTTGTAAAACAACCAGTTTTTTATGTATTCTGTAGTCACGTTTAGATGCAAAAAGACTATCCATTTCAAAAAAGTGGAAAAGTTAGTCAATTCGAACGCCTCATTAATGACAAATTCAAAAACCATCAAACTGGTACCTCCAGCTTTAGCTTGGTCGCTAAGTTTAGTTTTATTCAGACAGACGAAAAATTTGTTTCTCCCATTTTGATCATCTGCCCATCTCAGCCAGCCATCAATCATCCGCCAATCCATCCGCACATTTAGCCAGTCCTGTGTCCAGCGGTTCATCGTCGATCTAACAATCTATCTATCTAGATATCCATTCGTAACGCATCCATCCATCTAGCCATTCATGCATCCCATCAAGCATCCTTGCTGCCGTCCATTGTCAATCTAGCCATCAATCCTACTATCCATCTCTCCACCCCACAACCGTTCGTCCAGCCATCCATGCACCTTGCCATCCATCCACTCAGACATCTCTGAATACACTCTCCATTCAGCTAGCCATTCACATTCATCCAGCTATTCATCCAGCCAGCCATATATCCAGCCACTAACCTACGTAGCTTTTCAACCAACCAGTCATCCATCTATCTAGCCATCCAGCCAGTCATATATCCAGCCATCAACCCATCCGGCCTTTGAACCGACCAGTCATCCAGTCATCTAGCCATGCATCCATCCTCTCATCATTTCAGCCATCCATGCATCCAGTCAGTCAGTCTTCCAACCAGCCGTCACTCAAGCCATCGATCCTTCCAACCATCAAGCCAATTTGACAACTAGCCATTCACCTAGTCAGCCATCAATGCGTCCATCTAGCAATCCCTTGTGCCTTCATTCCATCATTTCAATCGTCCAGCCAATGATTCAAACATCCATTAGTCAATTACATCCACTATCCAGCCATCCTCAGAACCAGCAAAACATCCATCCATCTAATCTAATTTTCTGTTAAAGATAAACGTTGTCATTTTTCAGGAGCAACTTGAGCTACAGAGGGCCTGCTAGTTAGTATAATTTCAACAGAAAAGGTCAATCGTGAATTGTTCCAAGAATTCAAAAAGCTTTAAGGGCATATATGTTTTTGTTTGAAATTCGAATGCTTGCTTGCGTTCATTGATTCAATTCCAACTGTTTTTTGTTTCCGCTTGATTTTTTTTGTAAACTCTTGACAGTTGGTTGTTTTGCTTCTCTTAATGAGTTTATTAACGGAGTTGTTGTCTGATTAATCAAACATTAAAGATTTTGCGTATTCGCGTTTTGCGAGCCCTTGGGTCAATAAAAAATCAATTCGCACTTTTATATAGGTAATTTTCAGGTGAAAATTTTTGAAAAAAGGAAAGCCTGTTTCTGCGCAATTGGCACGCAAAACTTACACCCCTATAATTAATCGGTCTTTAGTTTCAAATTGTAGCATATGCGTTATCATTTTTTTCCGAAAATTGAATAAAAATTAAAGTAAAAAAAATACAATTTTTTTTGCTAAAATTTGGAAAGATTTTTTAATTACTTTTTTTTCGATACCTAAAAAAAAATTTTGCGCTGTAACTAAATCTCTGAAGTAAAACTAAGTTTTCCCGGCATAAATATAAACGTAATTGCTCGAAAAAAATCAAAATTCAAAAACCGGTTCATGTCGACACAGAAAATTTTTCGAAACCATTTGAATATCGCTCCAATAACGACTGAAAAGGAATATTAAATGATATAACACTCGGCCCTATTCAATGACTTTTTTGTAACTTAATTTGCGTGGGAAAAGGTTTCGAAAAACTAAAACATGCCCGAAGACAAAGTTCCTCCTTGCTTTTAGAGGTCGTAACAATAATCTGCGTTCGTTTTTTTGTGATCGGTCATAAAGTTCTTGTTTGCTTCATTTTGTATTGTAATAATTCCGATTCTCTTCGCTTCTGGATATAAATGAACACTGGATTTGTGAAAACACTTCGATTTTATATGTTTTTTGAAAATCCATTTGAATTAAGTAGCTATTATAATTTCGTCGTTTAACGTGTTATTAATTTTGGCGAAAACTTTGGCTATCCATCTCTGAAATATATCTAGCTTTCTAGAAGTTTTTATAAACTCCGGCACTCTTTTTTGTTGGAAACTCCGATACCTTCTAAATCTCTTCTCGGAAAGTGACTGAACTCTCGAGATATTCTAACCGAGTCTGGACGAGCCATATATACCCGGCGGTGGCTTCTTATTTTAACATCAGTTCCCAGGTATAGAGCTCTGTTGTGAAGGTGGAACAAAGTTCCTCTTTTCACTTGTTACATAGAGATTTGTAACCACGGTTAAAGATATTTGTGTTTTTTTTTTCAGTTTTGTTTAAGGACAAATGCAAGTTTTTTTGCACGCCTCATTTGCCGAAACAAAACATTTTAAGACTCTTTTTGCTTTTAAATGAGTTTTTGGTATAGTTTAAACCACGCTTCGAAAACATTTGTTTTATCAAGTTTTGTTTCGCGTAATTATCTTTGTTCACAAGTAGCAATAGTTTCACTAAAAGCCATTATGAAATTAGGTGTGTAAAAACTCATAATCTAGTAATTTTACTCGAGTCGTGAATAATATATAAAACTAAATTTTGTAATCAGTAAGCTGGCAAAATTTCTTTCAAGTTGTGCATGCAGCGACGTGAACGAATTCGTGGTCTAATTTGGCCGATATTAAATTCATAGTTTCAATTATTTTTACAATTAATGTTTAACCATTCGGTTTTTTAAATCAGAAATTCGTCAGTACGTGCTTTTTTTTGGTAATAACTTCGGAGCTAGAACTGCTCAAAATCTTAGTTGTATTTGTTCCTATAATTGTTAGTTATTATCAATAAGAGAAAACTAAAACTGAGAATGGAAAAGGGCGCAGTTGGAAGAAGCGATCACCAGGAGTGGACTCCTAAACGGCGGATGAAATTATTCTCGTGGGATTCGTCAAAGGGGGAGGGGAAAGGAAGAGGAGATCTGGAGGTGATCTATTCCATTGACGACAACCCCCCTTGGTACCTGGCCATAATTCTCGGCCTGCAGCACTATCTGACCATGATCGGTGCATGCATTTCTATCCCCTTTGTACTGTCCCCCCTTTCTGTGTATAGCGAACAATGGTCTAGCACTCTCTAGACTTATCAGCACAATCTTCTTCTGCTCCGGAGTGGCGACTCTGCTGCAGGCCACGTTGGGGGTCAGACTACCCATTGTACAGGGGGGCACTTTCACATTCATCACTCCCACCATCGCCATACTCAGCCTACATGGTGAATGGTAAGTTATGTCCGCCAAAACAAAGCAGACTTGTTCGGCTTCAGCTATTTGATTTTGGTGAGCCGTGAATAAAAGTCAAATTAAGAATGAACAACTTTCAATCTGAACTTATTTTTTGTTGCGATAACTCCTCATTATATTTTCCCACAGTAAATACAATTTTTTTTTTTAAAAGGTCATATTTACTGTGGAAAAAATATATAATTGGGAAATTATCAAAACAAAAATTAAGTTCAGAACAAAGTTCATTCTTAATTTGAGTAGTATGTGAAATCTACCGTGGTTTCAGCTCAGATAAAAATTAATTCCGCAAGTATTTAATTGTCTGATTTGGTTTCTCGAATATGTTTTCTTTTCGTTTGATCAAAACTTAGGGTGCAAAGGAACTTTAATCTAGGGTCGTATTTACGCAAAATCAGTAGCTTTAAAGAACGCTTGGAAGGCATAGAGTGTTATCAAATAAATTTTCTTGGTTTCGAGATAAATTGGTTTGAATCTGAATAATTCCATTTTCAAACCTTTCTTAACAAGGTAGTGGATCAATAACTTTCTGATTTTAGTTGGATTTTTAAATACAAAAATTTGATTATTTTTAAAGAGTCGATGAATATGACCAGACTCTTAAATAGGTCGGGGTGATTTTTTTAAAGACTTTGTTCAGGCTTAAAATTACTTTTCGCGGTTTGAATTTTGATTTCTCTTTAAATTCAGTTCATTTCCTTTGTTGGAACGAAGGCAAGCTCCACTATTGAACAGTGAAAGTATAAAGATTACAAAAAACGTGATTCCAGTTTCGAAGGTCGAATTTAATTTTCGAATTTCCTAGTGGAATACAACCTTACCTTTTAATCAAGTTTTCTCAAATTAAGTCATTTTTTATCCAAAAAGTGCCAATCGTAAATTGTTCTAAAAATTCAAAAAAACTTCGAGGCTTTCTATTTTTTTGATATTCGAACGCTGAAGTTTTTTTTAAAAATCAAATCGTTTTTTTCTGCGCACTTGCGTTCACTGTTTTGTTTCTAACTGATAATGGCTATGTTTTTTTGATAGAGCGCTCAATTTCAATTCAACTTTACTGATCAAGAAAACGGTGCAACAGTTTGAAAAATAAGGAAATACCGTGGTTGGGAAACCTTCTCTAATCTGGTGCAACGACTGGCCTGGTTACATTTTTTTTTCACGCTATCGAGAGCAAGTATCTTGTAATCGGGAACTAGATTTTTTTTTCTCGTAAATAACTTTTCTTACAAAAATTCGTACTTGCTTTAGTGTTGAACCTTAATAATTTCCAGGTTCCTTCCAACTTGGCCAGAATGTATTGCGATCGTCGGACGTTCGTTTGTCTGCCCAAATTTTTCTGCTTAGGTGCCACATCACGGATCTTTTTGTGCTATTAGCAAGTATCAAAGTCGTTGCAAGTTTTTGATCATTGCAGTTTCTTGGTAGACGTAAGCTTTTGGCCTTTCTGTAAAACTACTCTGCCAAGTCTTACCAAGTCTTAGGTTAAGTTTTCATCGAACTATACGGTTTTGGTAACCTTCTTTGCTCAAGCGGCCACGATTATATTATCTCTATGCAGAAAAAAGGGTTATTTCAAAAGGGTCTTAAATTTTTTTCATTTTTCTTAAAAACTACTCTATCAAATCTGAGATGCGGATTTGAGTCGAAAGAACCAGTTTAAAAATTTTTTCTGCAGATGCAGTGACTCCTTAACTTTTTTGTGTATTGCCGTGCAAGTGGCGCGAAGCTCCCTTCGCTTCTGTTTTAACTTATTTCGTTTTCTTTTTTTTCATGAGTTTTGATTTTCATAAAATGATGATACAATATTTTTAAAGTTGCTATATCTTGTTTCAAAGGAATTATGTACATTTTTCAGCTGTTTTTTTTTCAATGTTAAATTGTTTTATACTTGCGGTAAATGACTTTTGCTCGGATCTTGTTAACTATTTCACCCCCCCCCCCCCCCCCCCCTATTGCAAAATGGGAGGGGAATAGTTAAAATGGTACAAAATTCGTAATGCTTAACTGTTCACATTTCTTTCTTTATAGGGGGGGGGGGGGGGGGGGGATGTGATATCGTTACAATGTACCATAGGGGGGAAATAGTTAACAAGATCCCTTTTTTCTTATACTAAACCAGATTTTTGCGAAGTCAAATAATTGTCTAGTCTATTCTCACTGAACTCAATGATTGATTCACTTGAGGGACTGAGGGCTAAAACTTACTGTTGTTTTTGGCTTCATTTCTTCCCACCTATATTCTGTCGACTTGATTTTTCTATTAATATTTACATATGTTGTTTCGGAGGGTATCTAGATAGAATGGGCCAATATATATACGATTCATAAATGTGGAAATTTGCTGTTGTAAAACAACCAGTTTTTTATGTATTCTGTAGTCACGTTTAGATGCAAAAAGACTATCCATTTCAAAAAAGTGGAAAAGTTAGTCAATTCGAACGCCTCATTAATGACAAATTCAAAAACCATCAAACTGGTACCTCCAGCTTTAGCTTGGTCGCTAAGTTTAGTTTTATTCAGACAGACGAAAAATTTGTTTCTCCCAATTTTTTTTTCAGTTTTTCTTTTTTTTTTTCGTCTTATGTTTTCTATGTCACATGTTGTTTTGCTAAGGGTGCGAAGCTCCGCTTCGCATCTGTGTGAAAAAATTCTGTTGACATTGGACTTTGATTTTCTGTTGATTTGGGTCGAACAAAAACGGCTTTCTGTTTTCTGAGACAATCGAATCATTCTTATTCAATTAAGACAGTTAAATAATACTGAACTTTGGCTCGACTATCATAAATTTAATTTGTTCTGATTGGTTGCCAAACAGGGTATAAAACAGCTCATATGAGTTTTATTAATTTACGAATTCAAAATTATTTTGAATTGATAAAAAGTAATTATTGATAAAACACTATTTTTTGCATTGTATTTTCTATGCGCGTTTTGTTTTTGTTTTATTCTGCTTAGCCGTTTATTTTTGGCTTGCCATGAATAATATTTATATAACAAATCGCAATTCTGAACGCAAAACTTACGATTACAAGCATTATAAGCCTTTGAAAAAAGTCGTTTCAAATTCAGCTTGGCAGAACGTTGAGCTTTCGAGAGGGGCTGATATTGTGTATAGTATCGACGATGTTCCCCCCATCTACCTCTCGGCGCTTCTCGGCTTGCAACACTTTCTCACGATGGTCGGGGGGTGTGTTTCCGTGCCATTCGTCTTATCCACCTCTCTCTGTATCCAACAGAATGGTCTGGCAAAGTCTCTACTTATTGGCTCCCTCTTTTTCTGCTCTGGCATTGTGACTTTATGCCAGGCTACTTTAGGTGTCCGACTGCCTATTATACAGGGCGGATCTTTCACATTTGTTGCTCCCACCATTGCAATATTGAATCTACACGGATCATGGTAACAAAACAAATTTCGGGAAAAACACTTTTTAGGCTTTAAGTCGTTTTAAGGCTCCCGTTGGTCTAAATTTTTCTCAATGCCGTCTTGTTCAATCAATTTTGAAAATATTTTGGAAAAATCTAAACTGATTGAAGCAGGCTAAAACCAATATTCATGAAATGTTTGTTATTCTTATCGTAACGAGTGTTGACTAATGACGGTCGCCCTTCGAAAAGCTACTTGTTTGTTATGGAGTACACTTAAATCACAATTGAGGCAAAATATAGATAAGCTTTCAGTTGTTTCTCAATTTTTTTGATACATTTTCTTATTGTGGTTTTTTGCCCAAACCCTTCAGAACTACGTTTCAGTGCCCAAAACTTGTTAAAGAGTTTTTTCAGTGCTACTGTATAGTTAGTTCCTAGCCAGAATTGTTACCAGAAATATGAATCCACGAAGACGCAACGCTCAATTTTCAACAGTTTTTGGAGCATTATTTTAAATATTGAACGCATAAAGGCTTAAACATGGTCACGAAAAATGCATACGTACTCACCTTCAAGGGTCGATCTAGGATTTTCTTGAGGGGGGATTTCGAAGATTTTCCGAGCGCTCCCAGTCACCATAAAGACTCAGGTTAGCAAACATGTTGACCAGAAAATCACGTTTTTTCCGCTCACGCTGGTCTTCAAAATTAGTACATATTGGCGCCGAAATTGACTTTTAAAAGTTTTAGGGTTGGTCGGCCAAAAATGGATGTCACAAAATAAAACAAAGGGGTACCGTTTGGTTGGTGAGAGCGGTCAAATCACTGAAAATTCAATTTAAAACCAATTTTTCAGCATGAAAACGAGTCTTTTAGCAAATCAAGCTAATCCAACTGATGCATATTTGATTGACATGTATAAACAAGCGCTTGGTCTGGGCTTGAGTTTCGCAAATCAAGACAATTACCTCACGGTTTGTAAGCAAAACTCTATCGTTTTTGAAACAGTACAAAGAAAAGAAACCTGCGCATATCAAAGCCACATCTTGAATGTTTTGATTGACACTTTAATGTTTTAGGAGTAGTGTTCGATTTCAAGTTGTCAAACTTTGAAACTTTTTTTGAAAAATGTTAAATGTTATTTTATACCTGCATTCAAAAACAAGTGAACTGAAATCAATCGTAATCGATTTTTATGGTCTAAAGTGTTATCAATTTAATCAATTCCCATGATGCCTCAGGCAACTAACAAAATGTAATAAAATCGATTATAATCCATTGTTTTTATCCAAATTAAAATGAATTATAGTCGGATTAAAATCAATTAAATCGAGTTTTTTCCACTTCATTTTAGTTTTGAATTGTTCAAATTTTGCAAGAATTACTGCAATTATCGAATGTGTCATGCCCCCCTTTGTCCCCCCCCCCCCCCCCCCGACTAACCCACTTAACTTCAGATGATCATAGAATTTCTTTGTTTTTATCTATAAAATTAACAAAAATCAATTATAATTGCTTCGCAATGGATTTTAATAATTGATTGTGAACGATCATAGTTCGTTTTTATAATCACTGACAATAAAGTTCAATTTTAATCTATTTTTATTCATGGAGTTCTGGTGCGGGTACAATATTTTATGAACAAATTGTTAAATTCTAAGCATATAATAAGTAATAGTTATAGTAGCTAGCATGCTTCAATTCGATTTGGAACAGTTTTTGAGTGGGTTAAAACGCCGCTTACGCTTTAATAGCGGAATATATTGCATCTTAACTATTCCTAATGGCGAAGTTTACAAACCTCAAAGCTCATGACTTTAAATAACACGACCACAGCCAAAATATTATATAAAATTGAGCTCAGGACATGATTAGGTTTCAAATGAAAATTCGTCAAAAAGGCTTGTAAAAACTAGAACTGCTTTGAAAAAAAAATTACTTCACACAAACATTCCATCACTTTATTCAAATGTTGGAGCATTAAGTCGCTGTCGTAAACTTTGGTTCACGCGCAAAACAGCATTCCTAAAGTTGATTACAGAGGAGCAAGCAGTCACTTCTTGACAACGCCGCATTTTTATAACTTGCACATTTATTTGTTTATTGGTTTGAATATAATAAAATATTATTCCGTTAAAAGAGCGGTCTGCTGCAAATTTCTGATCTGCTGTTGCGTTTTATCATGGAAACTAGTGAGTTAATTATTATTGTTGCGACTATCGAAAAAATGCGGATTAGTTATGCTTGTGATTTGTTTTATTCAATCATTTTTCGGCAAAATGGCTAAATAAAAAGTCGAATTTTCTCTGAAGAAAAAAAACACCCCGATCAAAAATATTCCGATCCTTTCGTAACGAAAGTCGGAAGAACACTACCCTGCCTATTGTTGTTCCGACTATCGTAACGAACGTAACGGAATATTTATGCTCGAGGTGGTTTTCTTTCTTCAGACAAAATTCGATTTTGTAACTAGCCATTTTTGATTTTTTTAACGTCATTCAAAAAATATTATTCCCCTGAGCTAAATTTTAAAAGATGTTTTATAAGGCACAAAAAACTTTTAAATACAGACGAGCAAGCAAGAGGAGACTTTTTTATTGCTTCAATTAACGCGCGATATATTTATTTTGCACTATTAACTCGTAAGCAGTGATTTAATCCGTCTTGTTCCAATTTAGTTGAAGGAAGCTTTTTTTTGCCATAATTGATTTGTTACTAGGAGCAAGTTCTATCACTTTGTACCTTATATGGCGTGTGGGGGGATGATTACCAAAAAACTTAATTAAAAAAATTCGTTTCATTTTATTACATTTACTTTTTTTAATGTTATTACTGCTCCATAGACCTTAAAAGGCAGTCGGAACATTCAGGGCTTTAGCTTGATACTAGAAATCTAGTTCCGACTTTAGGATTGGTGTGGTTTTTTGTTATTCAGTCAATTAATTTTCGACTTGTTAGCTAAGCGTTTTTGACGGAATTTTGGTATACCATTTGAGAGATAATGTTATCCTAAGCTGAAATTTTAAATCCTCACCTGTGTTCATTTTCGTAATTTTACGGGCGTTTCAAAACTGCTAACTTGGCCAGTTTTGGATAATTAAAGTACTTATAACACGCCTAAGAAGCGGAATAATTTGTTCTAAATTGAATTGAGGCCAACAATTTCATCCTACAATCACACTAAACACACCTTTAGTACATTACACAGCGTGTGGGCGATAAAATTAAAAAATGAAAAAAAAAAATTAATTATTTTGTCAATTATTCAACCAAAAAAACTTTTCAATTGGCCTTAAGTGCAGTCGGATCATTCGGGGCTTTGCCCTGATATACGAGCAGTTCAGACTTGATCTTTGATACTGTTCAAAATTTTAGGAAATAATTTTCGTGCTCGATTAAATATTATCGGCAAAAACTCTTCGACTCCTAAAAACACGAAACATTACTCTTTCGATTTGGTATAACGGAATGTTGAAAAGGCATATCACTTCAGAGTTAATGAAATAAACCATTTCATGAGCTGTTTGGTCCCATGAATTTTGTCGGTTACTTTTCTTTTTGGTTGAAACCGACTTTTATTCAAGCAGATTGGCTCAAAATCAATTTTTAAACTTAATTTTATGTTGACTATAAACGAGGGGGACAACAGTCAGTGAGACTGAAATCAGCGAAAGTATGAGTACAATTCTGTTTCAGCGGCAACTCTTCATCTGAATGGAAAGATAGAATCGTGGAGGTCCAAGGGGCCATCATGGTCTCCTCCGTGTTCCAGATCGTTCTCGGACTCTGTGGAGGAGTCGGGTTCCTTCTTCGCTTCATTGGACCCCTCACTGTAACTCCTGCTGTTACTCTTGTAGGTCTGTCGCTGTTCGGAGCTGCTTCCAATTACGCCAGTGCTAGCTGGCCAATAACAGCCTTCGGAATTGTCTCCATCACTCTCTTCTCCCAAGTACTGTCCAGACTGTCTCTCTGTGGACTCCAAATCTTCAAACTGTTTCCGGTTGTTTTTGGAATGGGACTGACATGGCTGCTGTGTTTTATTCTGACAGAAGCAAATGTGTTGTCGGATGACCCGAACGACAGAGGGTACCGCGCGAGAACAGACAGCAACTCGGATGTTCTCAGCGATTCTAATTGGTTCAGAGTGCCATACCCTTGTCAATGGGGAACTCCTAAAGTAAGTATCAATTTTCAATCACTTATCTTGCTCCAATTTTTATCACTTTCATGAGTACTTGTGCTATTAACTTCACCAAGTAGATACAGTATCGAAAACAAGAAAATTTTTCTTCTGGATGCAAAACAATTATTTTGCAAAAGCAAATCAATATTAACCGAGTGTGTAAGTTTTTAGTAAACGCAAGTAATGATTATCTTTTGGGTAGGTTTTAATAATTGCTCGCAGTAAAACTTCTTCATGGTTTTTTGTTCACGTTGTTCGATTGCATAAACTACCCGGGTTGACCTCCATTCACCAAAAATGCTTATCATAGAACTTCATACATCAAGTGCATGAAAAAATGCTTGTCTTACAATTTTTATAAAATTTTGAAAAATGGTTGAAAATAGATATAAACTATTTCTGTGGCTGTTTGATTCTAATAAAACAATCTGGTGATGACAAAAACCGAGGTTTTTGTCTTTTGAAAAGTGCTTGTCATAAAACTCCCATATATGAAAAATGTATGCTAAGCGTTAAAAGTCTTGCTGAGCGAAAATTATTTTCAAATCTTTTGTAAAAGTCTTATCATTAAAACAAGTATAACTGGTCTCAACAGAAATTTGAACATTGACTTGAATCAAAATGACATCTATCTGTTTGACTATTAAAACCTTATGCTGTTCCTGTTGTCTGCTTGTTACCCTATAATGTTCCATGTTTAATGTTGTCTGTGTTTGTTGTCTGGCTCATCAGGTGACAGCGGCAGGTGTGTTTGGCATGCTGGCCGGAGTACTCGCAGGCATGGTGGAGTCTGTGGGGGACTACTTCGCCTGTGCCAGACTGAGTGGGGCTCCTGTGCCCACTGTGAGTGCCATCAACCGGGGCATGTTGGTGGAGGGGCTGGGTTGTCTTCTAGCGGGACTCATAGGCACAGGCAACGGCACCACCTCCTACAGCGAGAACATCGGAGCAATCGGAATCACAAAGGTATGAAACTCCGAAACATACCATTACGAGACCTCTCTTTGTTCTTTTTTGTTCTTTCGTTTTCTTTGATCGTTCCGAAAATTTTTTAACATATGTTTAAAGACTTGTCTCTGGACTCCAGAGGCCTACACACACAAAGTTGTGCGCCTATCCAGTGCACAGTTTGGCCTCGTGATGACGTTAAGAACATTTATACAGAGACATCTGATAACACACCAAGAGGTTTCATAATTTCTCACGCTAGTGCTTCATTGAATGTAACTGCCACTTACGTAACACTGCCTATTACGTAATTACGTTCACTTGCAAGATGTCGTTTCATTTTTTTCCCGTAAACAATTTTTCTTATAAAGCTGTGAGAAATTGTATATTTCTTCATTATTAAACTTGAAAAGTGTTCAGGGTCTTTCTGATTTTCTCTGGAGATTATGCGGGCACTTTTGCACCCTGAAGATCTGGAGTTGGCCTCACAGCTTGAAATTTTTTAATATGTTCTAATATGAATTGTTTTCTTGAAAAATTATGAATAATCGGACTATCGTTTGTCTGCTTTTTCGTCGGCTTAAATTACAATTTATAGAATGTTTTTGTTTCAAACAATTTTAATACAATTAAAGTACTTCTGTTTACTTAAATTTAAGATCTTCGAATACGTTCTATCATTATTTTATTTTCTTCTCATTTAATTTTTTCTTTAAAGGTTTTGGCTCACGTTATACTGGCTTAGTTACCTGAAATTTTGCTATGAAAAGAAAGAATAAATTTTTATAGTTGTGTATTTTTGAGGAAGTGCGGGTGAAAAAATTTCGAGTTTGAAAACTAACAGCGCAACATTTTAATGACATTTTATATCCTTTTTTTGGTTCGACTGAACAGTTGTATACGTAAGTAATTTCGGCTTAGTGGTTGGTCAGTGCACGATACTAAATGCTTATTTAACCCGGTTGATTGTATTATGCGACTGTGATATCCAGAAATACTGAATTGATATGGCTTGCATTGTATCGAAAGTGCTAAGACTCTCCGCTTCGCCTCGGTGTAAAAGCCTGAAAAATTGTCAAAATAATTTTTAGTATCCAGGTGTGAAAAGACGGATATATACAAGCTATTTTCATCATCGAGACCCGCTTGTTGATCGCCCGAGTAGGATCTACGCAATTTTTTAGTTTCCTATCGATAAAAAGTTTTCGTAGCATCAGTTATAGTCTTCTAAATTTGTTACCCAATCACATTTTTTTTAATACAAAGTGATTAAAACTAAGCTGAGCTGCAATTTTCTTCAGAGTTGTTTCTGATTCGATTGCAGATTAAACAATTATATGCTCATTAAACTGGGAACTTAGAATATCATTCGATGAAAAGGCAGTTTTTTTGTCATGATTGGTAGCAGGTGATGACTTTAATTATTAGTGCTCTAGCCTGAGGACCAGTTTGCGAACTGGAGTAAGGAATAGCATGTAGAAACCTCATGCTCATTGTTGCAGAGGAAAATTTAGCGCTAATTCAGCGATGATTTAGCCCTGATATTGGATAAAGTGACCCTGATCATAGACTGAACCATAGATGGTAATCGCTGTGATATCTCTGAAATGGAAAAAATTTTTCAAGTGAACTCAACCCACGTGTGTTTCATCTACTTTTCTTTTTTGCTCTAGCCTGTATTTCATCCAGTTCTCTTTTTTTGTGTTTGCTCTTTTTTTGTGTTTGCTTTTTTTGTGTTTCATCCAGTTTTTTTCTGTGTTTGCTCTAGCTTGTGTTTCATCCATTTTTCTTCATAAAAACTACCATGAATGCACGACGGAGATTCGTTCCGTGTCAGCGCTCGCAATAAAAAAAATGATTTTTTTTGTTGAAGTCGAGCAATTTAAGAACTGACAACTTTTAACTGGCACAGATACTTCTGGTCATGCTTAAATTTTTTCTCAAGATTTTTATATCTCAAATGTGAGAGAAGGGAGTTTTCCGACTCTTTTTCTACCATTACAAACCAAAAATGTTTTGTCTAAACCTTCTCCTGTTGTTTAATTGTTCTGTCAATCAACATAGCCCTCCTCTTCATAATTTAAACATCAATCTAATGACCATAAATGTTTTTTATAGAGTTTTTTTGTTGCCCATATACTATCAGGTTTGTTAAAATTGGAATATTTTTTTTGGAAAAGATGTAATTTTGTACTGATCTATGTATTAGACAATCATATAGTTAATCAGGCTTTGCGTAGGTTTTAAAAATTTTAAGTTTCTTTTTGGATATAATAAATATAATTTTGACATTTTTGTTTCGATTTTTTCAAATTGTTTCTTTTATTAGACATTTGCAGAGCTTGAGCTTCACAAAAACTGAAAATCGTTTTGTACTTAGAAAAAGTTTCGATATTGTTTATGTTCAATTTTAATATTGTCACCAAGTTGAAGTTCAACACTGACTTCAAATTCTGAGCTTCCAAATTTTTGTAACGTTGTAGTTTTTGGGTCATTCAGTGAAAGTGAAAATTTTCAATTTAGTCATTAGCATCCCTGAGTTTGTTTTCGACTATTTTCGTTAAAAAACTGCAAAAAAAACTTACTAAGTTGGCTTCCATTTTTTGCTTTGTTTTGCCTTTTCCCCATTTTCAATATACTGAAAAGTTCAGCCATGCCGTGCAAATTCTTGTGTTTCCCACAATACAAAAAAAAAACAATTTTTTTTCCTACTCAACCGAGTAGGGAGATTAGAGCAACAAACAATTTCGCATACACAGTTTGAGTTTTGTATAGATAGCAGAAAGTAAAAAGTTTTTGAGGACCAAGTTTTTTTGCTGGGTGACTTTCAAATAGGTCTGTCGATGTAATAAAAGAAAGATTCGTTTTTTTTACATATGCATCCGTGCTCTAATCTGTTTGTTATTGCTCCCAACAAAAGACATTGTTTTCTGCAACTTAAATTGTAGGTATCAGAGTTATTTCATTGAAAAATCCCAGTTCTTTTTTTCAGTCAACGTTCACTTGTTTTACTCAAAGTTGATGTTTTCTTAATTGATAATTTATTCCTGATCAAACGACAAGAGATACCTCGTTATAGTTTTTAAGTAGATAGCTCAAGCATGAAGTATGTCGAAAACGATTGAGTAGTTTCTGTTTTTCGGCGTTTTAGAATATTACATTGATTTATTAAGTTTCTTTATTAAAAATCAAATTAAACTTAACAAAATTTCTCATATTAGATAAACTCCCTGAATGCTTCGATCGGTCTTTTATGTGCATGGAGTAGAGTTGGACTTATAATCGACAAAAAATTTTTTTTTTTGAAAATCAATCCCTAAAAGCTCTCTAAAGTACAAAGTTACATTATTATCATATAGTAGCGTTTTAATTAGAGCAGCTAGCATACTTTATTGCAATTTATCAGTTTGGATTGTTTTTTGAGCCGGGTTAAATCGCCGCTTACGCGTTAATAGCACAAAACATAACGCAACAAATTGTGGGGTTATTTTTCCACAATTCGTAAGTTTTAAGCCCTCATAACTTTACCCCACACACGCTAAGGTAATCTGCAAAGGGATGTATTCAGCGTCTTGGGTCCCTAATAAGACGACTAAATGACTCCCTTCATTGTTCCCACTTTCGAGTCGAAAGTAACGGAATATTTGTGCTTGGGCTGGGTTTTTTTTTCTTCAGACAAATTTCGACTTTTTAACTTGCCTTTTTTAACAAAATTTTTTACACCATTCAAAAGGTATTGTTGTTTTGAGCTCAAATTTGAAAAGATATTTCACCTGTGATCATTTATGAGGGTTTAAAGATTGCCATTTTGGCCAATTTGGAACAATTAACGCGGGAAGTCGAGCAATTTAAGAACTGACAACTTTTAACTGGCACAGATACTTCTGGTCATGCTAAAATTTTTTCTCAAGATTTTTTATATCTCAAATGTGAGAGAAGGGAGTTTTCCTACTTTTTTTCTACCATTACAAACCAAAAATGTTTTGTCTAAAACTTCTCCTGTTGTTTAATTGTTCTGTCAATCAACATAGCCCTCCTCTTCATAATTTAAACATCAATCTAATGACCATAAATGTTTTTATAGAGTTTTTTGTTGCCCAAGTTTTTTATACTATCAGGTTTGTTAAAATTGGATTATTTTTTTTTTGAAAAGATGTAATTTTTTACTGATCCATGTATTAGACAATCATATAGTTAATCAGGCTTTGCGTAGGTTTTAAAAATTTTAAATTTTTTTTTGGATATAAAAAAAATAACAATTTTGACATTTTTGTTTTGATTTTTTCAAATTGTTTCTTTTAATAGACATTTGCAGAACTTGAGCTTTACAAAAACTGATCATCGTTTTGTTCTTAGAAAAAGTTTCGATATTGTTTATGTTCAATTTTAATATTGTCACCAAGTTGTCACCAATTTTTTGTCACCAATAAGTTGTCACCAATTTTTTGGGTCATTCAGTGAAAGTGAAATTTTTCAATATAGTCAATAGCATCCCTGAGTTTGTTTTCGATTATTTCCGTTAAAAAACTGCAAAAAAAAACCTTACTAAGTTGGCTTCCATTTTTTGCTTTGTTTTGCTTCTTCCCCATTTTTAATATACTGAAAAGTTCAACCATGCCGTGCAAAATTCTTGTGTTTCCCACAATACAAAAAAAAACAATTTTTTTTCCTACTCAACCGAGTAGGGAGATTAGAGCAACAAACAATTTTGAATACACAGTTTGAGTTTTGTATAGATAGCAGAAAGTAAAAAGTTTTTGAGGACCAAGTTTTTTTGCTGGGTGACTTTCAAATAGGTCTGTCGATGTAATAAAAGAAAGATTCGTTTTTTTTACATATGCATCCGTGCTCTAATCTGTTAGTTATTGCTCCCAACAAAAGACATTGTTTTCTTCAACTTAAATTGTAGATATCAGAGTTATTTCATTGAAAAATCCCAGTTCTTTTTTTCTGCCAACGTTCACTTGTTTTACTCAAAATTGATTTTTTCTTAATTGATAATTTATTCCTGATCAAAC